TCATTATTCATGTACTGTTATTGTAAAGTGTTACCGATATTTCTCGTTTCTCAAAATTGCAAAAGTACTGGAATATGTGATGTTGTGATGATTATTTGTGATGATTACAACTGCACTAACTATAAATTACTATAGTATTTTTCTTCCACATAGACCCCTATGAAAACAAGTTAAAAACACAGTCATCTTGTCACCTTGTTTACCATCTCCACCGCACACGTCTCTACAGTGATGTAATTAGCAAAAGCATGGGTTAATTCTCTCATGGGACTGGATGTGATGGACATGAGTTATGTGCTGTCCAGTAATGCTTGTAAACACGTCTCTGTCTGTCTGTAAAGCGGTGCAGTCATTAATAACGTCCAGCCTAACTGCACCATGGGATTGATTGGGCTCGCCGGTGACATTCTGACCGCTCGCCCACACCGCTTCTCCAGAGATTTACAGCACAAAACATTGCTTTCTTTGGACGCCAGAAGACTTCCATCCTTTGTTTTGAAAGTCTCAATGTTGGGCGTTCAATTGACATGAACCGGCCGGGGTTTTATAAGCTCAGTGTTGGCATTTAATTTATTGGTAACACTTTGGTGGTTCAGGTCTCACTATTAACTAGCAGCTTATTACACTGTAAAAATGCTAGGTTCCACACAAGCTATTTGTGTTGGGACAACATATAGGGTGACACAGTGACAAGGTGGTTGGCACTGTCACCTCACAGCAAGAAGGTCGCTGGTTCGAGTCTCAGCTGGATCAGTTGGCATTTCTATGGGTTTCCTCTGAGGCTCCGGTTTTCCCCAGTCCAAACACATGTGCTATAGGTGAACTGGGTAAACTAAATGGACCATAGCGTATGAGTGTGTGTGTGAATGAGTGTGTACGGATGTAAAGGGCATTCGCTGTGTAAAACATATGATGGATAAGTTTACGGTTCAAAAAATATATTTTGCTGTGGTTACTAACTCAAAAGAGTGCTCTATCAAAATCAGGTGTAATTTTGCATCAGTGTAGAACAACTCTAATATAACTTCACATTAAAGGTGCTGTGTGTGTTTTTGACTCTTCTAAAGCACAAAAATACCATAATATGTTTGCAGATATTTAAGAAACATGCTAAGTGAGCATTCTTGTTTTTCTAAAAAGACAATACTGAGGTCAGATATTCTGCCTTAAAAATATGTGCTGGAACGCTGTCTTTGTTTTGGTTCTTTTAACCCGCCCAATGCCAGATTAGCCAATTATAATTCAGCATCCCAGGTTGCATTGCTGGAAATCAGCGTATTTCATTTATTTAGTCAGGCTCTGAAAGCATGCGTCCGTGACTGAAATGTGATCTCCGGTGGACAGTCGCAGACTCTAAAATGAGGCTCAAATTCAGAGATCTCGATAAGGTACAGTAATTAAGGTGCAGTAGGTGATTGTCCTCAGAAACATGTTTTGTTGTGCTGGTTGAAAGTCTCTTCACAGTCCAATAGTACTGTTTAAAGTAAATGATGTAAATGTATTTATATGTATTTTTATATTCTAGATAAGGCCTAAAACTAAAAAAGTGTTCATCCAATTAAATATTGTCGGGCCGGCATCTCCCATAATTCCGATAAGCAGCTCAGACTGTCTGTCAGCAAATGTAGATTCAGACTTCTACGCATCTGTTTATGCAGATCCAGAGCGGGAGAAATCAAATGCTGAATTGAAACTTTTGAAAATCCTGAATGAATATTGGAGTAACTTTTGCACGCTGGAGGAAGGATGACACCATGGCTAAAGTATTACTGTTAGACAGGTAATGTTCTGTTTTAATACTTAGTCAGGCTAAGCTTATGTTAGATTGTGTTGTATTATGAATGACTTGTATACACAGACGTGTTGTTCAGCCACTGAAATCTCCCGGTCAAAGATTGATGTGATTATTTTCAGTCTCATAAGGTCCTTTTACAGCATCGATAATGTAGATTTATATTTAGTTTAACAGCAAAACACCAGTAGTGCTATTCCGCCTAGCCTGCTTTGTTGAACTGAAGTTGCGTTTATATTCACATTGGTTTATTTTTGAACAATGACAGACTTCCTAAACTGTTTACCATGCTACTCTGAATATTCACTCTCAAATAGAATATAGGTATGGCTTTGTAATACATTTAATTGCTGCACGCTGCGGGCCAAACACTAACTAACTGGCGAATGACATGAACTAGTGGGTTGTCTGCTGTTGTGACGCAGCGTGTGCGCTCTCGATTTCAGGAGGTGTGGCTTTGAAACACAGTCCCTCCTTGTCGTCCTAAGATAATATTCTAAGTGGTTAGCATTTTGGCAGATCACCTACTTCACTTTTAACTAGCAAATAATATAAATATTATGAGCGTAAACATTAGGTGAGCAGGTTACTAGGGTTGGGCCGATAGACGATGCGGTGCTGTTTTCAGTAGTATGGCAATAAATTTGATGTAAAATGCCATTCAAACTCACATTATTAGCATTTAACACTGAATAAAGCACATTAGGTGTACCTGAGCTGATCATTGTCAGTTTATCCTGTTGTTCAGCTGTGAGAAATAGAAGCCGTTTCTGATCTTTCAATTCGAGGTGTTGGTTAGAACAAAAATTCCTTTTAATGTAGAGAATATTCCTTCTATCGAGTGCCGTTGCTTTTATATAGAACATAATAAATTTAAATCAGCCTTTAGGCTCGATCGTTAGACTCGCTCCTTAGACTCGCTCCTGTTCGTCTTTAATCTGGCAACCTGAGCTTGTGTTTGATTTAATCCAGGAATGCAATACCTAGTTCAACCACTGGATGTCAAACTTACGTACTGCACCTTTAAACAAAAGCTGCACATTGTTATTTTTGACTCCATCAGCTTAGGCAAAAGAAACATACGGGTGGGTCAAAAGTAGCAATATTTGCTAGATTTACTTGCTTAATCTTGTTTATTGTGTGACTATGACCTTGTTATTGTTCACTGCTAATATATTTTGTCCTTTATTTTTGCAAAAACAATATTAAACAGCATTTTCATTTGAAATTTCAGCTACATCAAATGTTTCAAAAGCAATCCAACACTGCAGTGGTAAAATTTTCAGAATTTTTTTTGTATATTTTATTTTTATTATTAATATTGGCAACATGCATTAATTATATAAAACGTATGAATCAAAACACTAAAAGCTCTGAAGTGTAAGTGAAAAATAAGACCAAAATATGTCTACTAGCAATGAGACATAAATGAGTGTTACTGTCATCCCCACTGGAACTGATTTAAAACTCAGAGACGGCAAACTTAAGGATGTGTTAAAGCCTACATGGCTTTTTTTCCCTTGCCATCAATTGCCACTAGCTTGCATGGTTCGGGACCCGTGGATCTGCGTATCGATGGATTTGCTCTTCACTGTTTGGACTCTCAGCAGTGAATATTGAAACACACTTTAACACTTAAAACCCCCCTACAAAAAGCTTAATCTAAATTAATTCGTTCACCTTTCTCGGTTGACATGAATCCAAAATGTTCCGGGATAAGATTTCGTTTTCTAACAAGATTCATGGTTGTACTTGAACTTGCTGAATCGCGCCTACTGTTATTCTAACAGATATGTAATACTTGGCAACATAACAGTAATTTGTGTTTTAAAGTGCGTGACGTCACGTACTACAGCCGGTGGCAATGGACAACGGCGGTGGCAAGTGACCACGGCGGTGACGCGGTTGTCACGGTGACCGTCACAGCCTTAGACTTAAGTATATATATATATATATAAATATCGCAATATATATCACAGGGGAAATAATATCGCAATGTCAATTTTTTTCAATATCGTGCAGCCCTACACTGAATTCATTATTTTTTTTGTGTGCCACCCCATGATTTGGTGTGGCCTCTTCGGGCCACCCCTAAGAAAATTTTCTGGGGGTGCCACTCGTGCTCCGATTTCCCCCACAGTCCAAACACATGCGCTATAGGTGAATTAGATGAACTGAATTGGCCGTAGCGTACGTGAGTGTGTGTAAATGAGTATGTATGGGTGTTTCCCAGTACTGGATTGTGGCTGGAAGGGCATCCACTATGTAAAACATATGCCGGAATAGTTGGCGGTTCATTCTGTTGTGGTGACCCCTGATACATAAGGGACTAAGTTAAAGGAAAATGATAGAAAGAATGAATATAGTTTTATACTGTAAAAATGCAGGGTTCCATACAATTCATTCAGGTTGTCTCAACATAGTGGGCGAGGCAGTGGCGCAGTAGGTAGTGCTGTCGCATCACAGCAAGAAGGTCGCTGGGTTGCTGGTTCGAGCCTCGGCTCAGTTGGCGTTTCTGTGTGGAGTTTGCATGCTCTCCCTGCCTTCGCGTGGGTTTCCTCCGGGTGCTCCTGTTTCCCCCACAGTCCAAAGCCATGCGGTACAGGTGAATTGGGTAGGCTAAATTGTCCGTAGTGTATGAGTGTGTGTGTGGATATTTCACAGAGATGGGTTGCGGCTGGAAGGGCATCCGCTGCGTAAAAGCTTGCTGGATAAGTTGGCGGTTCATTCCGCTGTGGCGACCCCGGATTAATAAAGGGACTAAGCCGACAAGAAAATGAATGAATTTCTCAACATAAATCAATTAAGTTAACTTAACAAATTTAAGTGGATTGAACATAAAACAATTAAGTTGTCCCCCAAAAACCTCAAGTACACTGAAAAAAATTATTCAGAGATGATTCCCTGGATTTACAAAAAAAAAAATGTACGTCAAGTGGCTGTAAAAAAAATTATTTGGGCTGAATTTAAACAAACAAATGAAGTTACATTTTATTAAATTTAATTTGTTTGTTAAAATTCAGCACAAATAAATTGTTTGCAACAGTTTTGCAGACATCTTTTTTTTTCAGTGTATTGTGTTGTATTAACTCATTTGAAGTAAATGGCTTAAACGAGCAGCAAATGTATCTTTTTTGAGTGTATAAACTGTACAGTTTTGCATACTTACTGTATATTATATTACATTTTGCTCATTCTTTGTGTGCAGATCCCGAGTCTCAAAGAAAACGAACCGTTCAGAATGTTTTGGATCTCAGACAGAATCTGGAGGAAACCATGTCCAGCCTGCGAGGCACTCAGCTCAGCCAGAGGTGAGAGAGAAACAGCACATGTTCATGACAGGATAAATCACAGCCAAACTAATTCACCAAAACTCCTGCTCTCAGTGCATCGTAAATCTGCGTGAAAGCGCCACGATGTTCTTTGGAAACGATTGTCACGCATATTTATTCCACACAAGAGCTTGAATATAAACAAGGCTTTGCATTATACACAACTGCGTACCTTTTCCACAACTTTTCAGCCTCCTTCGTCTTTTGGGAAAGTTGCCATTTCGGTCATTCAGAAACACCTGGCTACCACATTCACTGATGCACACACAATGAAACACTTTCAATCAATGAACGCACACTGGAGCCAAGCGTAATACACAACTGGGCTTTTACTGTATAGGACTAAAGAAATGAATGGTGCTTGTCCATGCAAAACGTTTTTTTTGTTGTTGATTGGTTGCTAAGGTGATTCAGCTTTTAGAATGTTGCTGTGTGGTTGCTATGCTACAAGTGGTTGTTGGGTGGTTTATTAAGTCACAAAATAACCCACTTCGATGTCTCGTGTAACTTAAATATTTTATTATATAAGTTATAAGCAGTGTTGGGGAAAGTTATTTTTGAAAGTAATGCATTACATGTATAGGTGAGCATAGATGTTTTTTTTTTTTTAATATCTAGATTAATCTCACTGTAATCTTGGAATTAATCTAGACTAAAATGGCTCATTTGAATTCTGCCGAAGGCATTCAGAATATGTGTGCTTCCCAAATAATGACTCAAAGTAAGTCTTTGAGACTGGGTTTCTCAAGCCAGGTGGCGCATTAGACCAGGGGCTTATCTCCTGTTTCCAAAATGCATCACAAACTGCTTGAGAAACTGTTCTACTATGAAAATTGGTGATAAAAATAAATGATGTTCAATCAGATGTCCTTGTGTTTACTAACTGTTTATTCAGTTAAACATGAATGTTGAACTGTAGGCCTACATAAGCTCCAAACAGCGATTTTTGGCCACCTTAATCCGACTAAAGGCATAACTGAACTAAACAGAAATGGAATTAAGACGTGGAGTATGCAGATATTAGTGGCATTATTAGAGTAAACACCGCGATCAAACTATTATTGTCATGTATGCCTTTTCACCATATTTTCAGACAACATCCACACACACGGCTGTCAGTAAAAGGACCGCGCACACACAGTCTTAATTATATTATTGTCTATTTAGGCAAATGACTAGATTACAGATGTCCATGTAAGTGTAGTCAGTCGTGTCTTCGAAGTAAGTGAAAGATCCCGAAGGCCATCCTGCTGATTTGATTTAGAGGGGCACTTTTTTTGTCAGACGGCTCACCGGTCAGGTATACACTAGGGATGTGATATATAGATACTCAGAAGCTTTTAAGTTGATATCGATATATTTTTATTGATCTATAGTATTGATATTTTAATAATTTCTTCATAACTAAATGTTTTAGAGCTGTAAACAGGATTGTCAGTGGCGCTTGTATACAAGACGTTACACCAATCAATCTGCGGCTATATATATATATATATATATATATATATACATGTGTGTATATATATATATATATATATATATATATATATATACATGTGTATATATATATATATATATATAGTTAACACGGCAAATAGTAGTACAGTATTATAATATATAGTAAATATAAATTTAAATAAAAATAAAAACAAATAAATAAAATAAATCTGCTCTCTCTTTCTCTCTCGTTACCAACCGGTCTCGTCTCTGCTCTGTCTCTCTCTGCCGACAAGCTGTAAGGGGCGGAGCTAATAACCCGCTCCTACGATTGGTTGTTACTTTACCTTAAACTAGATTTGTATACATTAATTTTATTTTGTTTATTATATTTATAAAGACTTGTAGATATAATAACAATATGATTTTACTGCTCTAAAAAATATTATAAATAATTATTTAACTATTCAACTTGGGTTACATTTTGCAAAATACAAATTGTATATATTATGTTAACATATAAGGCGACGCAGTCTCGCAGTAGGTAGTGCTGTTGCCTCACAGCAAGAAGGTCGCTGGTTCAAGCCTCTGTGCAGAGTTTGCATGTTCTCCCTGCGTTCGCGTGGGTTTCCTCCGGGTGCTCCGCTTTCCCCCACAGTCCAAAGACATGCGGTACAGGTGAATTGCGTAGGCAAAATTTTTCATAGTGTGAGTGCGAATGAGTGTGTGTGGATGTTTTTTGTGTGTGGATGTCTTCCAGAGATGGATTGCGACTGGAAGGGCATCTGCTGCGTAAAAATGAGCTGGATAAGTTTGCGGTTCATTCCGCTGTGGCGACCCCGGATTAATAAAGGGACTAAGCTGAAAATAAAATGAATGAATGAATGAATGTTAATATATACATTTATTTTTTATTTCCATTAAAATAACGGCACATACATTTTTTTTTAACTCCTTGAACTTCTTTTCATTACAATCTGACATCTGCCATCTTTAATATGGGACCAAGCTTAAATTTATGCACTAAAACATTAAAAAATTAGCATTTATTTAAGTTGAACATGTCCTTTTTATGCATATGATCAAAAAAAAAAATAGAACAGTTAAGGGTTGAACAACCGTTTACCTCTATAGACTTGTAAAATGAGGCTTTTTCAAAAAAGGTGGAGTATTCTTTGAAAGCATCACTTGTCAAAATGCATGAGTTAGACTTGTTAACACAGGCGTAAAATGATTCATGCTGATCAACCAGACACAACCCACACTTTCACAGCCGCGTGTGTGTGCGTGTGGGTGTCCGTGTGTGTGTAAAGCCCAACTCCAATGAGCTTTTCTGTAACATCATGCTTCTGTTTTCTTTCAAGAAACAGAGATGTGCAAAAGCAAGGTGCGGTGTTAGATATTTCTTAACATGTCGATTGGCATTATACACCTGCTGGACTGATCTGGAGTCTGTTAATGTCAAGATGTGTGCTTGAAGGGGAAAATGTGATTAATTACTGAGACACATGGATGCTTTTAAGTTTTCGTATCCTGTTTTTGTTTTGGAAAACAGTTTTAGTGTGTGTTATACTTGCACAAACAAGTCTTTTAACACTTCAGTGTGTTTAGTTTAAGATATGCAATGAGTATTTACTCAAAAGCATGTTTTATTTGTCATAGTGTCATTGCCCATATTTAGGAAGATTTGACCAAGTCTCACACTTCTGAAACTGATTTTCTGTTTTGATTTTCTTACAGTTCAAATATCATAAAATTCTCAATGGAAAATTTTGTTGAGTGGAAAATGGCATAGCATATTAAATCTTGTTTTAATTTCTCGTTTTTATGCTAATTTAAATTAAATGCTTGAACAAATGTCTGTGATTTGGGGTCAGAACAAAAAAAAGAATAATTATTTTAGAAACCTAATTGGCTGATATTTGTTCTTGTATAAGTCATAAACTCACTTAATTTTGAAACTTTTTCCAAATACTTATTATAATATCCTTTTTTTATTGAAAATAAAGACAAAAATACCGTGTAATTTTTAAATGAATAAATCCATAAATAAATAGTGGAGAATGACATAACATTCGTTCATTCATAACATTCACAATTTTATTCATAACATGACATATTTTTTCTTTATGAAAATTTATTTTTTAGACCTTTCTTAAAGTTTATTTTAATATTCTAATATTTTTCTTTAAAATAATTGTAGCTTTATTTAAATTTTTTTAGGTTATTTTCTTTTTGTAATTGTGTGTAAAAATTAATATTATACAAATATATAAAAAATGTATGTAATTTCAAATAAATAAATAAATAAATATTGATTTGATTGAGTGTATAATGGCATAACATATTAAATCATTTTTTATGCAAATTTAAATGTAATACAATAACAAATGTCTGCCATTTGCGGTCAAAAATAAAGGCATAATTCAAAGAGACAACAAGATTATTTTCAGAACCCTCATTAGCTAATATTTGTTCTTGTATTAGCCATAAACTCACTTAATTTAAAACCTTTTTTTCTAAATGCATATTATAATATCCTAATTTTTTGTTTGTTTGTTTGTTTGTTTGTTTGTTTTTTTACTGTAAATAAAGACAAAAACACAATTTTTAAATGAATAAATCAATAAACAAATAGTGGAAAATTACATAACATATTTAATCTTTATTTTATCTTTATGAAAATGTAATTTTAATACAAGAACAGATATCTGCCATTTGGGGTCAGACAAAAAAGAGCATTCAAAGGGACGACCAGATTATTTTTCAGACCTTTCTTAATGCTTATTTTAATATTCTAATATTTTTCTTCAAAATAATGGTAGGTTTAAGAATTTTTGTTTATTTTCTTTTTGAAAATAAAGACAAAAATATTATGTATTTTAAATAAATAAATAAATAAATATTGAGTGTATAATGACATAACATATTAATTATTGTTTTTAATGCAAATTTAAATGTAATACAATGACAAATATCTGCCATTTTTGGTAAAAGAAAATACATAAAGGCATAATTCAAAGAGAAAACTACATTATTTTTCAGACCTTAATGCTTATTTTAATATTCTTCTAATATTTTTCTTCAAATTAATTGTAGCTTTAAGTTTTTTTATATATATATAAATAAACAAACAAATAGATTACAACATATAAAATCTTGTCTTTATTTCCTATTTTTATGCTAATTTAAATTGAATGCTTGAATAACTATCTGGGGTCAGAACAAGAAACCTAATTCAAAGGGAAAACAAGACTATTATCAGACCCCTCATTAGCAGATATTTGTTCTTGTGTAAGTCATAAACTCACTTAATTTTATGATTATTTTATTTTATGATTATTTTATGATATCCTAATTTTGTTTGATTGTTTGTTTTATAACTGAAAATAAAGACGAAAATACTGTCATTTTTAGATACGTACGTACATACATACATACATACATACATACATACATACATACATACGTACATACATACGTACATACATACATACATACATACATACATACATACATACATACATACATACATACATACATACATACATACATAAATAAATAGTGGAAAATGACACAACATATTTAATCTTGATTTTGTCTTTATGAAAATGTAATTTTAATACACAAAATATGTGAACATATCTTCCATTTAGGGCCAGACAAAAAAAAGCATAATTTAAAGGAACAATTAAATTATTTTCCAGACCTTTCTTAATGCTGATTTTATCATTTTAATATTTTTCTCCAAAATAATTGTAGGTTTATTTAAGAATTTTTAGGTTATTTTCGATATAGCGCATGTGTTTGGCCACGAGGGTAACATGCAAGCTCCACACAGAAATGCCAACTGACCGAGCGGGGACTCAAACCAGCAGCCTTCTTGCTGTGAGGCGACCACTAACAACACTATTGCACTGAGATTAGGACTTTTGCACAAGCAACTCATTTTCAGATCATGTGAAGCGTATTTGAAGCCTGCCTTTTTCTTTCTTGATTTAAATTTTCTATAAACGTTCTTGCCACACAGTGGAGTTCACTACTGACAGAACTTTGGCTTACAGAAGGACGTGATGTGGCAGTGAAAGCAAATGGAAAAGCAGGTCATGAGATTTGGGAGTGGTTGAGCCGTACAGTGCAATGAAATAAGCCTGCACGTGTGTTATTTTCAGCTATGATTTTGCAAATGCATATTTATTAAAGCACTTCTTCAGGCTAAAAACTCCCTTTATCTTCAATCCAGGTCTACCTTATGCCAGCAGCCTGTAGGACAGATATAGTCACATGCAAACTCGAGTCCAGATCTCTCCTTTATAATCAGCTCATGAACCGCCAACTTATCCAGCAAGTTTTTACGCAGTGGATGCCCTTCCAGCCGCAACCCATCTCTGGGAAACATCCACACACACATTCACACACACACTCATACGCTATAAACAATTTAGCCCACCCAATTCACCTGTACTGCATGTCTTTGGACTGTGGGGGAAACCAGAGCACCCGGAGGAAACCCACGCGAACGCAGGGAGAACATGCAAACTCCACACAGAAACGGCAACTGAGCCGAGGCTCGAACCAGCAACCCAGCGACCTTCTTGCTGTGAGGCGACAGCACTACCTACTGCGCCACTGCTTGCCTGCATGTAATTCAGATGCACAAAAATAACAAATGTGCATAAACCTGAACTATATTTTCAATTAATGCAATTCCTGGAGCAAGAGAAAAGCCTAGACCTAAGCAAACCATCAGAAGGAAATCCACATTGCATTTTAATACATTCATAAACCTGTTTTAAAGGCTTGTTATAATATATGAATATTTAATAACTTGGTATTTAGAGAGTTTCATTAATTTATGACTATACGATATATACTTTGATTTATTTTTGTCCTGTTTCTAGTCCAAATATCTACAAATTCTTAAACCAACAAGCATTTTTTAGACAAGTGAAAAATAGTGTCTTCTTGTCAGATATAATACTGCACACTCAGCGGCCACTTTATTAGGTACACCTGTCCAACTGCTCAATGCAAATTTCTAACCAGCCAATCAGCAACTAAATACATTTAGGCATGTAGACTTAGTCAAGATGATCTGCTGCAGTTCAAACCGAGCATCAGAATGGGGAAGAAAGGTGATTTAAGTGACTTTGAACATGGCATGGTTGTTGGTGTCAGACGGGCTGGTCTGAGTTTTTCAGAAACTGCTGATCTACTGGAATTTTCATGCACAACCATCTCTAGGGTTTACAGAGAACAGTCCGAAAAAGAGGAAATATCCAGTGAGCGGCAGTTCTGTGGGCGCAAATGCCTTGTTGATGCCAGAGGTCAGAGGAGAATGGCCAGACTGGTTCCAGCTGATAGAAAGGCAACAGTAACTCAAATAAGCACTCTTTACAATCGAGGTCTGCAGAAGAGCATCTCTGAACACACAACACGTCCAACCGTGAGGCAGATGAGCTACAGCAGGAAAAGACCACACCGTGTGCCACTTCTGTCAGCTAACAACAGAAAACTGAGGCTACAATTCACACAGGCTCACCAAAACTGGACAATAGAAGACTGAAGAAACGTTGCCTGGTCTGATGAGTCTCGATTTCTGCTGCGACATTTGGAAGGTAGGATCAGAATTTGGCGTCAACAATATGAAAGCATGGATTCATCCTGCCTTGTAAAAACGGTTTAGGCTGCTGCTGGTGGTGTAATGGTGTGGGTGATATTTTCTTGGCACACTTTTCCATCCCTTTATGACCACAATGTACCCATCTTCTTATGGCTACTTCCAGCAGGATAACACACCATGTCATAAAGCACGAATCATCTCAGACTAGTTTCTACAGTCACCAGATCTCAACCCAATAGAGCACCTTTGGAATGTGGTGGAACAGGAGATTCGCATCATGGATGTGCAGCTGACAAATCTGCAGTGACTGTGTGATGCTATCACCTCAATATGGAGCAAAATGTCTGAGGAATATTTACAGTACCTTGTTGAATCTGTGCCATGAAGGTTTAAGGCAGTTCTGAAGGCAAAAAGGTGTCCAACCTGGTACAAGTAAGGTGTACCTAATAAAGTGGCCGGTGAGTATTTTTTTTTTGAGAGTTTTTCCTTTAAACAAGCAAAGTAAACAGGGTAAGAATGTGGTAAGAAAAATAATCTCAATTTTGCTTGGAAATTTTTCTTAATGTGGTGCAGTTAGAAATGTGTTGATTGATGAATAAGAAGAGAGGTCATAAATATTGATGTTAAATACTGAGTTTTTTTCATTTTATTTTGTTATTTGTTGTTTTCACTTATGCATTATCTGTGTGCTAATTTAAAATGCAATAAATATAACAACAAAAAAAAAAAGACTTGCTTACCCCGGCAGGTATACTTTTTGTCTAGAGAATGTTTCTTGATTTTGAAATATTTTGTTTTTAGATGTTTGAAAAAAGACAAAAACTTTAAAAGCACTTTTCTTCCAATATACTGGTCCCACTTTATATTAAGTGTCCTTAACTACTATGTACTTACATCAAAAAAATAAATACAATGTACTTACTGTGTTTATAATGTATTTGAGAACACTTGTGGTACTTTTGAGTTGGAATAGAGGTTGGGTTATGGACAGGTTTGGTGGCATGGGTAGGTTTAAGGGTGGGTTAAGGTGTAAGGGATGGTCAACAGTGTATTTACAAATGTAATTACAAAAGGTATTTACAGATGTAATTACATACATGTATTTTATCAAGCATAAGTACACAGTAAATACATGTATTTACACAATTTACAAAAAGTACATTGTAACAATCTATTAAATCCTGTGTAAGTACATATTAGTTAAGGACACAATATAAAGTGGGACCCATCCTAAATTCAATAATTGTAAATTTTTAATGTAACAGACCAAACTGGACAACTTAAACCAAATAATCCAACACCAACATGTTTAAGCCCTGAGCGCATCCAAATATTTCAAACCACAAGTGCATCTTCTGGTGTTTCACAGCTGTCTGTTGAATTATCCTGAGAGAAATGGGTAAAAATAGCTACTCTGTGCTCATGCGCTGGGAAAAGCTGTTATATTATTCATTTGAGCTGGTGCATCTGGTTATGCAATCTCCATCTGAATGCAGATTCTCATGCATCTTTTTCGTTAGTAGGTCATGAGTTCCTGGGGCCTTCATCAGGTCGAGCAACTCACGAAAAATACATTCGATTTAGTTCAAGCCAGATTTACCGGAGACTTAAACATCTGTGATGTATTGTGCTGCAATATGGTTGATGAAAGCAGTATTTGGGAAATTTGTTTATACTAATGTTGTTGTGTTATCATGACAACTGTAGAATGACCACAATAGATTAATTCATGTACTTTACTATAGTATGGTTTAACACCACAGTATTTATTGTAAATTACTATAGTATTTGTTCATGTGCTAAAATTAAATTATTAAATGATTAAATGCTCGAAAATGGAGAAAAGGGTGCTCTTTTATTTTCAGCTGTCAGTCAGCGCCTGCTCTTTTTTTTTTTTTTTTTTTTTTTGTCATTGTGTGCAGTATACCTGCAGACAGTTGATACGAGTCATTTTTAAAAGATGATGTAAGCAGGTCATCAAAAAAATAAATAAAAAAATCAGATACAGTCACAAAATTGGAATTGATTATCACGATCTGCAGTGTAAATGCAGCCTTAATTGTTTTATGTTCAATCCGCTTAAATTTCTAAACTAATTTTTTTTAGCTTCTTAAGAAATTGTGGAAAAATCTATAAAAATTAGGCATTAAAAATGTGTAAACTCTTAAATCCACTCGAAATGAGTAAAATATATAAATTTAACATGAAGGAATTGTGTTGAACTCTTCATTTTTTTTACAGTACACTCTTGTCTCTTTCCCTCTGCAGTTGTCTGGAGAGCAGCGTCTGCTATGACAGCGATGAAACCAATGCTCGCAGCATCTCCAGCCTCTCCAACCGCTCGTCTCCTCTCTCCTGGCGCCACGGTCAGTCCAGTCCTCGTCTCCAAGCCGGAGATGCTCCTTCCTCTACCGGCAGCAGCTATCTGTCAGGCACCAAGGCCTCTCAATACACATCTCAGACCATGCCTGCCCGCTGCTCCAGCCGCCTTAGCCACACATCCCGCAGTGAGTTCCTGGATGCTGGAGACAGTGACCTCAAGTCTGGATACCTGAGCGATTCTGATGTTCTGTGCAAGAGCCTTAATGATGAAGACGATGATGACAATCTGGCCAATGGGTGAGTGTTTAAGCATTTTCAGTCTTTCAGCTTTAACACAAGAGGAAAACATGATTCTACACCATACCTCTTTTTTTCTGGGATTCTCCCATATTTCATCAATCTGTCCTGCTATCATTAAGTATTTTCCCATATTTTTAATCTTTTGATTAAGGCTGACAATAAACATCATCAAAAGAGCCGATCTTTCCTATATGCATAGTACTGCCAAACAACCAGGAGACGCCCCTTGTTCTTCAATGTGAAACTATGCTTCTGTTTTATTTAGGCTTGAAAACACAGAAATAAATACAGTATGAAAGACTATATACCTTTTTTCCCATCTCAAGGTTGATAGGTATGTGCAATTTTTTTTTTTTTTTTTTGTGACAATATACATTTACATTTACATTTAGTCATTTAGCAGACGCTTTTATCCAAAGCGACTTACAAATGAGGACAAGGAAGCAATTTACACAACTAAGAGCAACAATGAATAAGTACTAAAGGCAAGTTTCAGGTCTGTAAAGTCTAAGAAGGGAAGTGTTAGTAGTTTTTTTTTTTTATAATTTTTAGTTTTTGTAGTTTTTTATAATATAATATAAATATAATTAGTAATTCTACAAAGAATGTTTTAAGGTCCCTGGAAGTGCCTGTGGGATTATAATATATATCAGGAGTTTAAACTGACAAGACCAGACTCTCTAATTTTTCACTTTGATTTTTAATATAAAAAAATAAAAACACAGACATGTGTATGTATGTATGTATGTATGTATGTATGTGTATATATATATACACACACACACACAGTTAAAGTCAGAATTATTAGCCCCGCCCCACCCTCTTTAATTGTTTTTTTCTTTTTCAAGGAATTTTTCACAGTATGTCTGATAATATTTTTTCTTCTGGAGAAAGTTTTATTTGTTTTATTTCGGCTAGAATAAAAGCAGTTTTTAACTTTTTAAAAAACATTTTACGGTCAATATTATTAGCCCTTTTAATCCATATATTTTTTTCAATAGTCTACAGAACAAACCATCGTTATGCAATAACTTGCCTAATTACCATAACCTGTCTAGTTAACCTAATTAACCTAGAGAAGCCTTTAAATGTCACTTTAAGCTTTATAGAAGTGTCTAGAAAAACATCTAGTCAAATATTATTTACTGTCATCATGGCAAAGATAAAATAAATCAGTTATTAGAAATTAGTTACAAAACTATTATGTTTAGAAATGTGTTGAAGAAATCTTCTCTCGTTAAAAATAAATTGGGGAAAATAATTCAGGGGGGTTAACAATTTTGATTTCAACTATATAGACACATACACACATACACATCTGTGTATATATATATATATATATATATATATATATATATATATATATATATATATATATATATATATATATATACACGTGTGTTATATATATATATATATATATATATATATATATATATATTAATGATTGGTTTGAATTTGTTCAGTCTGTACTCCCCTTTCTTCGATAAGCTAACTCTGTTTTGATTGGTCTTTCTGCATCTGTTGTATGTTAGAAACAAAATACCCAATGAGACAGAAAAACCATGAAAGCTAAAACAGAACTACAGCGAAATCCACCAGTGTCCACCGTGTATGCTTGTGAAGATCACAAATTTCTCTTGTGTAAATCCAACATAGGGCGCAATATACGCTTCAGCTTGCTGTTGACTCACTGACTGACTCACTAACCTCCTTCCCTAAACCCAACCCCTAGTGTTTTCAAAAGCAATCTAGAAAACGAAAAGCCGTCACAGCTGTGGGATTTCACCACATTTTCATACTGTTATTTATTTATTTTTTAGTTTGTCGTTTCGTCTGGTATCTGAATCCAAACTCCATCATCGTGGTCAACTCTGCTCCCAATTTCACCAACATATACGGTGAGCTACAGGGCAAACTGGTAACACCAGAGAAGCCATCCGTATGGAGGCAACAGTCATCTGATAGCCCTTAAATGAACAAAAGCAGTCTGCAGCATCACACCACTCTGTAGTTTTCGATAAAAAAAAAACAATGCAGCCAGACGTACCTCTGGGTACATAATTTGCACTCTTCATAAATTTAGACAAGGGAGCGTATCCACAATGAGCTTATGCTGACACTAGTCTATCCATCACAAATTAGCACAATATATAGACACAAAGAATTAATCATACTTGGGTAAGGCATGGACTTCTCTTTCATGCATTTAACAAATCCAGACTGTTTACATTGAATTACAGCTGCTTTACATACAGCAAATTAGATATTTTTCTAAACATATACCACCTGCTCTTTAAAGGAATATTTTTAAGCATGAAAATTTTGATTTTATTTCTCTATAAAGAGTCTTTTGTGAAATGGAAAGGTTTAAGTTTCTACTTTGTGATACAAATGATTCTTCATTTATCGCTCGAAGTATCATTTGAAGTGTTCGAAGTGCTATAATGTCAAGAAAGGGAACATGAGACACAGTGTTGTTATTAACCGGGCATGTACCTACGCTAGATTAAATAGGCAACAGTGAGTAGAGCATCAAAGAGGGGTCATGCTAATTAGCCACATTAGCAGAGAGGCCTGCAGAGATGCTGTGGATGATGAAATACCTCCTGCTTCTGGCACAGCTTCTGTCAGTAGCTTTATAACATTAATACAGGGTGTTCATATGTTTGTACAGGATGGTTGGTTGCATAAAAAGAGTTCAGTGCAAAGTCTGCGATATAGGCTGCATGTGTTTAAGCAAAAAAAAAAAAAAAACTAAAAACTAAAGAGTGAAATATACAGAACCCCGGAAGGGATGTAGTGGAGGAGAAAAAATTGGCTGGGTGAAAAAAAAAATGGGTGAAAGAAAAAAATGGGTGGGAGGAAAATATATATTTCTAAGTTTTTGCGTTTTCTCGCAATGTTTTGCGTTCCCTCGCAAAGTTTTGCGTTATCTCGCAAAGATGTTTTGCGTTCCCTCGTAAAGATGTTTTGCGTTCCCTCGCAAAGTTTTGCGTTATCTCACAAAGATGTTTTGCGTTCCCTCGCAAAGTTTTGCGTTATCTCGCAAAGATGTTTTGCGTTCCCTCGTAAAGATGTTTTGCGTTCCCTCGCAAAGTTTTGCGTTATCTCACAAAGATGTTTTGCGTTCCCTCGCAAAGTTTTGCGTTATCTCGCAAAGATGTTTTGCGTTCCCTCGTAAAGATGTTTTGCGTTCCCTCGCAAAGTTTTGCGTTATCTCACAAAGATGTTTTGCGTTCCCTCGCAAAGTTTTGCGTTATCTCGCAAAGATGTTTTGCGTTCCCTCGTAAAGATGTTTTGCGTTCCCTCGCAAAGTTTTGCGTTATCTCACAAAGATGTTTTGCGTTCCCTCGCAAAGTTTTGCGTTATCTCGCAAAGATGTTTTGCGTTCCCTCGTAAAGATGTTTTGCGTTCCCTCGCAAAGTTTTGCGTTATCTCACAAAGATGTTTTGCGTTCCCTCGCAAAGTTTTGCGTTATCTCGCAAAGATGTTTTGCGTTCCCTCGTAAAGATGTTTTGCGTTCCCTCGCAAAGTTTTGCGTTATCTCACAAAGATGTTTTGCGTTCCCTCGCAAAGTTTTGCGTTATCTCGCAAAGATGTTTTGCGTTCCCTCGTAAAGATGTTTTGCGTTCCCTCGCAAAGTTTTGCGTTATCTCACAAAGATGTTTTGCGTTCCCTCGCAAAGTTTTGCGTTATCTCGCAAAGATGTTTTGCGTTCCCTCGTAAAGATGTTTTGCGTTCCCTCGCAAAGTTTTGCGTTATCTCACAAAGATGTTTTGCGTTCCCTCGCAAAGTTTTGCGTTATCTCGCAAAGATGTTTTGCGTTCCCTCGTAAAGATGTTTTGCGTTCCCTCGCAAAGTTTTGCGTTATCTCACAAAGATGTTTTGCGTTCCCTCGCAAAGTTTTGCGTTATCTCGCAAAGATGTTTTGCGTTCCCTCGCAAAGTTTTGCGTTATCTCACAAAGATGTTTTGCGTTCCCTCGCAAAGTTTTGCGTTATCTCACAAAGATGTTTTGCGTTCCCTCGTAAAGATGTTTTGCGTTCCCTCGCAAAGTTTTGCGTTATCTCACAAAGATGTTTTGCGTTCCCTCGCAAAGTTTTGCGTTATCTCGCAAAGATGTTTTGCGTTCCCTCGTAGAGATGTTTTGCGTTCCCTCGCAAAGTTTTGCGTTATCTCACAAAGATGTTTTGCGTTCCCTCGCAAAGTTTTGCGTTATCTCGCAAAGATGTTTTGCGTTCCCTCGTAAAGATGTTTTGCGTTCCCTCGCAAAGTTTTGCGTTATCTCGCAAAGATGTTTTGCGTTCCCTCGTAAAGATGTTTTGCGTTCCCTCGCAAAGTTTTGCGTTATCTCACAAAGATGTTTTGCGTTCCCTCGCAAAGTTTTGCGTTATCTCGCAAAGATGTTTTGCGTTCCCTCGTAAAGATGTTTTGCGTTCCCTCGCAAAGTTTTGCGTTATCTCACAAAGATGTTTTGCGTTCCCTCGCAAAGTTTTGCGTTATCTCGCAAAGATGTTTTACGTTCCCTCGTAAAGATGTTTTGCGTTCCCTCGCAAAGTTTTGCGTTATCTCACAAAGATGTTTTGCGTTCCCTCGCAAAGTTTTGCGTTATCTCACAAAGATGTTTTGCGTTCCCTCGCAAAGTTTTGCGTTATCTCGCAAAGATGTTTTGCGTTCCCTCGCAAAGTTTTGCGTTATCTCACAAAGATGTTTTGCGTTCCCTCGCAAAGTTTTGCGTTATCTCACAAAGATGTTTTGCGTTCCCTCGTAAAGATGTTTTGCGTTCCCTCGCAAAGTTTTGCGTTATCTCACAAAGATGTTTTGCGTTCCCTCACAAAGTTTTGCGTTATCTCGCAAAGATGTTTTGCGTTCCCTCGCAAAACTGTTTCTTCACAAACACTTCCTGTTCCCTTAACTCACGTAAACCCTCCCGTTTTTCCTGAAATTCTCCCATATTTTACCATTCTACCCCACTTTCTTTACATTAATTATGTG